CTCCCTCTCCGTCCGCGCACCGTCCCCACGATCGCCCGACACGGGAGAAAAAGGGCAGGAGGGAGACCCACACGGGGAGAACGGGCCGGGGGTTGCCCGCCCGCTCAAAAGCCCCACCTTTTCTAAACCCCCGTTAGTCTTTCTGCAGCCACAGAAAAGGTCCATTCCCTCTGGGCATGTGCAGAGAGCGGGGCTACGCGCTGCCCTCCCCTCCCCTCCGGGGCGCATCTTTGGGGAGATAAAAAAAGGGGGGGGACACACAAGCTTCCACACGGGGAGAACGGGCCGGGGGTTGCCCGCCCGCTCAAAAGCCCCACCTTTTCTAAACCCCCGTTAGTCTTTCTGCAGCCACAGAAAAGGTCCATTCCCTCTGGGCATGTGCAGAGAGCGGGGCTACGCGCTGCCCTCCCCTCCCCTCCGGGGCGCATCTTTGGGGAGATAAAAAAAGGGGGGGGACACACAAGCTTTCCAGGTCATCCCGCGAACACGCCTTCTGTTTATGCCCGGCCGACCCAAGCAAAACGCGCAGGCGGCACAACGCGTTCACACGTGCAGGCGTGCCCATCCCTTTCTCTCCTTCTTGAGCTGCCAAACGGAGACAGCCTTTTTCTTCCTTATAAACCAGCAAAGATCCTTCCAAACCCAAAGTCCTGCAAATACGAGGATGATGCTTTACTTATTTTTCCCCGGGCATGCGCACAAACCCGGGACCTGCCTTTCTTTCCCCCCAGTTTAAAGGGTGAAAAGGCTGCGCGCTGCTTCCCATTCAAGAAGACCGAGGGCGGGGCCCGCTTACAAAAGAGGGCGGGGCAGCGGGGGGCTCCTCCCACGAGGGCCTGACTCCGCCCCCCCGGGAGCCACGTGCACTTTGGGGTGGTTTGGGAGGAGGGCGGGGGAGGGGAGGGGCTTCCGAGGCTCTTTGTACAGTAGTTTTTGCAGACAAAGGAGGGCAGGTTTGCGCTGGATGGAGAGCGAAGGAGGGAGGAAAGCACATATTAAGTGCAAGCGCCTGATGTATATAATTAGGTGTCATATGCATCACGTATAGAAGAATGTAATATATATTTGGATCCGGAATGCGTGGCCTGGCAAACATCTGGAACACTTCTTGCTCAGCTGCTGCTTTTTGCTCTCCCTTTGTGTTTCCTTCCAGAAAATAGGTGATCGTTTATTGGGTGGCAATCCTTATTTTAATTTTTATATATAAGACAAAGGGCACTTCTGTGAAGGACCAGGATCCCTTTGCAAAAGAGCTGTCTCTCTATGTATATATTTAGAGCTCTTTTGCAAAGAGATCCTGGCCCTTCACAGAAGCGCCCTTTGTCTTACCGAAGGATCTCCAACAAATATCTGCCCCACCTTTCGAGGGGGCTTCTTTTTAGGGGGTTTCCTTTTTGGAACCCGGAATCCTGCCTTTCATGGCCATTCACGCGCAAAGCAAGCAAACATAATGCAGAACTCTAAAGGTAGCTGTAAAGCCCACATCATGTCTTGCCTTTGAGTTCCCTGGGTAAAGGCAAAAAACAGCCGTCAAATCAATGAGGTGCATTACAGCCGGACTGAAAATGGGATTCATGCACACAGGAGCCGGTTGGTCCTTCCTGCTCTCGTTTCTGGAAAGATATCTCGCCCAGGAGCGCCGTGATTGTTTTTATTGTGTACCTGTTTTATTGCAAAGGTCTATTCTGCTTTTCTTGGCTGAAGAAAAAGCAGGATTATAACCCAATATCCTCAGCCCTTATGGCAGTCGTTATTGTTGCTGTTTTTATTCATATACTACCCTATAGTGCTAAAACACGCCCTGGATGGTTTACAACACAGCTATGCAAACAACTTGCCTCCCAGCTACAACCCTGAGAGGATGGAAGGCCGAGTAAACCCTGATCCGGCGACCAGAACCCAACGGGATCAAACTCAGGTTTTAAGCAGAAGCTTGACTGCAGTACTGCAGTTTAACGCCGGCGCCCAAAAAACCCAGATCTACACACCTCTGCTGCAAATATATATGTGGGACTTGATTTTCTTTTGTACCCTCTGCATTAGCATTTCTGTAAATCTGGGCAGGGGGTGAGTCACCTGAGGTCTCTAGCCATATGATGTAGCCCTTGGCCTCCTTTTAAGGCATTCTAGAAAGAAACTGGGTAACAGCAAATTGGGGGGGTGTCTCCCAACAGTTTGGTGGTTTGCATCAGGCAGCCTTCTCTCCTGATATGTCTTTGTCAGTCAGGATCCACAGATGGATTCCTTTCTCTCCCTCCCAGCAGGCTTGTCCATTCCCTTCTGGCATATTAAAACCCGCCAGTGGGAATTACTGACATTCTGAGCTAGCATCGTATCCCTAGTAAATTACGATTCAAACAAATATATATTTCTCTTTTTTTAAAAAAAAAAGTGTACTCAGTGTATTGACCGATAGGCTCCCCGCCAGCAGTAAGCCTCCATAAAAGAGGCCATAAACTTTAATTTCTAAATTAAAACAATAAAACCAGCAAATAAAATGAGTTTAAAGGAAGTGATGATAGCGCTGGTATGCCAGGAAGCTAACCCTTTGCGAAGAAAGATACTGATGGAGAATTATTTTCACCACCCACCTAACCAGTCCAGGACAAAGGATCTGAAAGGGGAGAAGGAATACACCTCTTATTTGTTTGTTTATTTAAAATATCTTTATCCCACTTTTCTTCTTAAAAAGCAACCTCTTTTTAGGTGTTTATTTCTTAGGAGAAGGCGGGCATCAACCAGACCCAGTTTGATTTTCCATGCGATTTTCCTCCTTTCCAAATCAACCTTCCAAGGCTTTTCAGCCTGGACATTTTTCTCCTTTCCTGCTGTTTCCCCCCATGTATTTTTCTTTGAATGCATAGCTGAAAGCATCTGTCCATTACCCTTCTCGTGACATGACCAAAATATTTTAGCTTTCTGCCTTTTTGTGTGCTTTATGCTTTTCTTTTTTTCGTTCAGGCTTATTACTTCTCTGTCAATCACCCTCCCAGTAAAAAAAAAATTTAAGAAATAAAAATCCTAAAGGTGCGGGATTCCCTATTTTCCAAAGGAAAATCTAACACTGAAAATCATCTAGGTTTGGGGGATGTTAAGCCCCGCATGGACTGAGCATTGTACCAGGAAGTGTGGTGTAATGGGTAGAGCAGATATTAGCCGCACACATCCTCCATGATCACTACCTCACTCAAGGTCAAGAGATCTCCTGGGTTGGTCCTGGAAGATCTTGGAAGATCCCTGAGGTTGGGTGGGTTGTGGATTCCACCCCTCACTCCACACGAGAAAATCTGCTTTGGAGTCAAGAGATGGCTAAGTCAGCAGGAACCAGCCCCAGAGAGTGCTGGCATCTCATAAGCCCCAGGCTAGGTCTGTGGGCCCATAAGGAGTGTCCCTTTGCAGGGGAAGCATCTACAGTAGCAAGGGTCTCCTTGG